AACTCTTCTTCTAGAAATCCATTCAAGAATGCAGTCTTGACATCCATTTGCCAAATTTCATAATCATGAAATGCAGCAATAGCCAACATGATTCGGACGGACTTAAGCATCGCTACGGGTGAGAAAGTCTCATCGTAGTCAACCCCTTGAACTTGTCGAAAACCTTTTGCAACAAGTCGAGCTTTATAGACAGTTATATTACCATCAACGTCAGTCTTCTTCTTAAAGATCCATTTATCTCAATGGCTTGCCGATCATCGGGCAAGTCAACCAAAGTCCATACATTGTTTTCATACATGGATCCCATCTCAGATTTCCTGGCTTCTAGCCATTTTGCGGAATCCGGGCTCATCATCGCTTCCTCATAGTTCGTAGGTTCATCATGGTCAAGTAACATGACTTCCAGAATAGGATTACCGTACCACTCTGGTGCGGATCTTACTCTGGTAGACCTACGAGGTTCAGTAGAAACTTGATCTGAAGTTTCATGATCATTATCATTAGCTTCCTCACTAATTGGTGTAGTTGTCACAGGAACCGGTTCTCGTGATGAACTACTTTCCAATAAGGGAGTAGATATAGTTATCTCATCAAGTTCTACTTTCCTCCCACTCACTTCTTTCGAGAGAAACTCCTTCTCTAGAAAGGATCCATTCTTAGCAACGAATGTCTTGCCTTTGGATCTGTGATAGAAGGTGTACCCAATAGTCTCTTTTGGGTATCCTATGAAGCCACATTTCTCCGATTTAGGTTCGAGCTTATCTGGTTGAAGTTTCTTCACATAAGCATCGCAGCCCCAAACTTTAAGAAACGACAACTTTGGTTTCTTGCCAAACCACAGTTCATAAGGCATTGTCTCAACTGATTTTGATGGTGCCCTATTTAACGTGAATGCGGCCGTCTCTAAAGCATAACCCCAAAACGATAGCGGTAAATCAGTAAGAGACATCATAGATCGCACCATATCAAGTAAAGTACGATTACGACGTTCGGACACACCATTTCATTGTGGTGTTCCAGGTGGCGTGAGTTGCGAAACTATTCCACATTGTTTCAAGTGTAGGCCAAACTCATAACTCAAATACTCTCCTCCACGATCAGATCGTAGAAACTTTATTTTCTTGTTACGATGATTTTCCACTTCACTCTGAAATTCTTTGAACTTTTCAAATGTTTCAGACTTGTGTTTCATCAAGTAGATATACCCATATCTGCTCAAATCATCTGTGAATGTGAGAAATAACGATACCCGCCGCGAGCCTCAACATTCATTGGGCCACAAAAATCAGTATGTATGATTTCCAACAAATCAGTTGCTCGCTCCATAGTTCCGGAGAACGGCGTTTTAGTCATCTTGCCCATAAGGCACGGTTCACAAGTACCAAGTGATTCATAATCAAGTGATTCCAAAAGTCCATCAGTATGGAGTTTCTTCATGCGCTTTACACCGATATGACCCAAACGGCAGTGCCACAAATAAGTTGCACTATCATTATTAACTCTGCATCTTTTGGTTTCAACACTATGAATATGTGTATCACTACTATCGAGATTTAATAAAAATAGACCACTCTTCAAGGGTGCATGACCATAAAAGATATTACTCATATAAATAGAACAACCATTATTCTCTGATTTAAAAATAACCGTCTCGCATCAAACAAGATCCAGATATAATGTTCATGCTCAACACTGGCACCAAATAACAATTATTCAGGTCTAAAACTAATCCCGAAGGTAGATGTAGAGGTAGCGTGCCGACCGCGATCACATCGACTTTGGAACCGTTTCCCACGCGCATCGTCACCTCGTCCTTGGCCAGTGCTCGCTTATTCCGTAGTCCCTGTTTCGAGTTGCAAATATTAGCAACAGAATCAGTATCAAATACCCAGGTGCTACTACGAGCTCTAGTTAGGTACACATCAATAACATGTATATCACATATATCTTTGTTCACTTTGCCATCCTTCTTATCCGCCAAATACTTGGGGCAGTTCCGCTTCCAGTGACCAGTCTGCTTGCAGTAGAAGCACTCAGTTTCAGGTTTAGGCCCACTCAAGCTGGACATAGTTCGGTCAAGAGTCTCCTGATAAGGAGAGAGATCTTAACGAATTCAGCATGTCGTCCAAGAGCAAGTGCCGAAAAATATCCGCGGAGGTAAACTCCATGATCGGTGCCCAATCAGATTCGATAGGCACAGATGCGCGCGGTTCGGAACCTATGGCCGGAGACGAGTCCGAGGGTCCGATGACATAGACCTCATTGGAGGCGAAGTCTGTGTTCGACTCTATCGTCAATGAGTATGCGGCCTTCATGGCGGGGTCCATCCACCCGTCCTCGGATGGCACGATCTGCTCCGGATCTAAGGCCAGGGCAGCTGCAGGTGCGTTCTCTTGAACACCGTTCGATGGCAGATCTAAGTCACGCTCATCGTGATTTTACGGCGCGCCTGACATGGGATCGAATCCGTCGAAGATCAAATCTCCGCGGATGTCGGCTGTGTAATTCAGGCTTCCAAACCTGACCTGATAGCCAGGGGCATAGTTATTGATCTGCTCCAGATGGCCAAGCGAGTTGGCCCGCAGTGCGAAGCCGCCGAATACGAAGTTCTGTCCGGGGAGGAAGACCTCACCCTGGATCGCATCGTTGCGGATGATTGAAGGAGCCATCAAGCCTTATCGTGACGACACAGTGGAACTCTCAATGAAAGCACCAATGTCGGTGTCAAAACCGGCGGATCTCGGGTAGGGGGTCCCAAACTGTGCATCTAAGGCTAATGGTAACAGGAGGCAGGGGACACGATGTTTACCCAGGTTCAGGCCCTCTTTATGGAGGTAATACCCTACTTCCTGCTTGATTGATCTTAATGATATGAGTATTACAAGAGTTGATCTACCACGAGATCATAGAGACTAAACCCTAGAAGCTAGCCTATGGTATGATTGTTGTTGTCCTACGGACTAAACCCTCTGGTTTATATAGACACCGGAGGGGGTTAGGGTTACACAGAGTCGGTTACAGAGAAGGGAATCTACATATCCGAATTGTCAAGCTTGCCTTCCACGCCAAGGAGAGCCCCACCCGGACACGGGACGAAGTCTTCAATCTTATATCTTTATAGTCCAACAGTCCGGCATAAGCATACAGTCCGGCTGTCCGATGACCCCCTAATACAGGACTCCCTCAGCGGCGGCGAGAGCCGCTCTTCCTTAATGCGGCATCCAATTTAGACGCCACGGCGGCGGAAAGCATGGAGGGGATGCCGTCTTCGGCTTCATGCGGAGGAGCGCCCCCGAAGGCAGAGCCGGGCCGTCGGTGTGGACGACGGAGCAATGGAGCATCAGCTCCCTCTGTTCGTCGAACTCCACGTTGGTGCCGGCGTAGTCCTGGTCCGGCACCACCGGCGTGGATTGCGGCAGCGGTGGCTACTGGTCCTCCTCATCGCCGGAGGAGATGACGATCTCCGCCCGCGTCGAGTCGCCGCCAACCGATGAGGACGACGGCCCCGGAGTTCGAGGGCGGCGTCTCCACGAGCCGCCAGATCCTGCCCTAGAACCGCCTGCCAGCACCGTAGATGTGGAGGGAGATGGGCGGGAGGAGGAGGAGGATGCGATGTGGACCGCATTTTTGTCTTCAAATTGCAAAAAAAAAAAAAAAGCAGCTTTGCGAACCGACATAGGACCATGTTAGATGACTTACGAGTTCCATACGAGATACGACGATGCTAGCGACTCACCTAGCACACAAGATCTCGTCGCGGAACCGTCTCCATCCTGGACGTCTGAGTCAATTAAGCCACTCCACTCGTTCTCAACACCGAGTAATTAGCAACAATTTCAAACTTGCGTTCACGAAATCGACGACGACCAGCCCACATTACATAGCTCAACCATTTTCCGTCAGACGATGGCATCGCTGCTCGTCTGAAAAATCGTCGCCCATCCATCTCAACGATACGCAGGGAGAAATGAGCAATTCACCCCTCGAGTGGCTCTTGCTCCCCAGACAAACTGCAGCGGATACCATGGAATCCAGAGTAACGAGCACCAAAGCTCGTCTCTTCTTGCTCGTACTGGTACGCACATGCGGCGCCGCCTCTCCACGAACCGAATCCGAAGTTGAAGCCAAAGCGCTTTTCACATGGAAGTCCACTCTCATGATCTCCGACGCAAACGCCTCTTCTCCGCTCTCATCATGGTCGCCGGCCAGCTCCCCGTGCGGTTCTTGGTCCGGCGTCGCGTGCAACGCGGCCGGCCGTATCGCCGCGCTCACGATTCCGAGAGCCGGGGTCGCAGGCACGCTCGACGCCTTCGATTTCTCCGCCTTCCCGGCGCTCGCAAGCCTCAACCTCAGCGGCAACCATCTCGCGGGCGCCATCCCCGCCAACGTCTCCCTCCTGGCCTCGCTTGCCTCGCTCGACCTTTCGAGCAACAACCTCACCGGCGGCATACCGGCGGCGCTCGGGACGCTGCGCGGCCTGCGAGCTCTTGTCCTCCGCAACAACCCGCTCGGTGGGCGGATCCCGGGGTCCCTCGCCAAGCTCGCCGTGCTGCGGCGGCTGGACCTGCAGGCCGTGCGGCTCGTCGGTACGATTCCGGCGGAGTTGGGACGCCTGAGAGCTCTCAGCTTCTTGGACCTGTCCAGGAACAACCTCTCCGGCGAGCTGCCGCCGTCCTTCGCCGGGATGACTAAGATGAAGGAGCTCTACCTGTCAAGAAACAACCTCTCGGGTGTTATTCCACCTGAGCTCTTCACTAGCTGGCCTGAGGTAACTCTGTTCTTCCTGCACTACAATTCGTTCACCGGAAGCATACCGCCGGAGATCAGCAAAGCAGGCAAGCTGCGGTTCTTGGCGCTTGAGGCCAACAACCTTACCGGCGTCATCCCGGCGGAGATCGGCAGCTTGACGGGCCTCGAGTTTCTGGATTTGGGGAGGAACTCGCTGTCCGGAGTCCGGACCGATCCCTGCTTCTATTGGAAACCTCAAGCTGCTTGTCGTCATGGCTCTGTCCTTCAACGGCCTCGCTAGCTCGGTGCCCCCTGAAATTGGTAGTATGTCCTTACTACAAAACCTTGATCTCAACGGTAACCAGCTCGAGGGTGAGTTACCTGCAACTATTTCATCGCTCAAAGATCTGTACAGTCTTGACTGCAGTAACAACAAGTTCATTGGTACAATCCCAAGCATTGGCAGTAAGAAATTGCTCTCAGCTGCCTTTGCCAACAATAGTTTCTTGGGAAGCTTCCCTCGGACATTTTGCCAAATCGCATCATTGGCACTGTTGGATTTATCTAGCAACCAATTGTCAGGGGAGCTCCCTAACTGCCTGTGGGACTTGGAGGATCTAATGTTCCTAGATTTGTCAAACAATGGTTTCTCCGGGAAGGTTCCGTCAGCTGGGTCCGCTAATCTATCGTCGTTGGAATCATTGCATTTGGCAAATAACAAACTCACAGGTGGGTTCCCAAGTATACTGAAGAAGTGTAAGCAGCTCATTGTCCTTGATATCGGTGAGAACTACTTTTCCAGCCAAATTCCATCATGGACAGGTTCAAATCTTCCTTCCCTAAGGATTCTCCGGCTGCGGTCCAACTTGTTTAGTGGTAGTATTCCCTGGCAACTATCACAGCTCTCCCATCTCCAGCTACTCGACCTAGCTGCCAACCAATTTTCAGGTCCCATACCGCAGGGTTTGCTTGCCAATTTAACATCCATGATGAAACCACAGACAGAATTCAACATGACTTCACTAGTCCATCATCAAGTTTTACATCTAGATGCTACGATGAATTTTGTTGACCGGATCGATGTGAACTGGAAGATGAAGAGCTACACATTCCAAGGGACGATTGCACTTATGATAGGTATCGATTTATCAGGCAATTCGTTCTCTGGTGAGATTCCAACCGAGCTAGCGAATCTCCGGGGCCTCCGGTTTCTGAATCTATCAAGGAACCATTTGTCAGGCCACATCCCTGAAAACATTGGTGATCTCAAACTTCTGGAATCCCTTGATTGCTCATGGAATGAATTATCTGGTGCAATTCCTTCGAGCATCTCGAAACTGGCATCTCTTAGTACGCTCAATCTCTCCAATAATAATCTCTCTGGCGAGATACCAGTCGGAAATCAGCTCCAAACACTGGATGACCCTTCCATTTACAACAACAATTCTGGGCTTTGCGGATTTCCATTGGTCGCATGCTCCAAAGGTTCTTCGGGTACTGTGGAAACACTAGACACAGAACTTGAAACCGTGTATTTCTGCTACTCAATAATTGCTGGACTCGTCATTGGATTTTGGTTGTGGTTGGGGTCTCTGGTTTTCTTCAAGACGTGGAGAACTTATGTTTTCTGTTGTGTGGATCGCTTTCAACATAAGGTTATGAAAAGATGGAGAGCGTTTCGTTAATGTGTGTCTATATATCGTTATGTAGCCTTGGTACATGAACTGTAGTATATGTATAGGATTTCTATATTTTTCTTTACTTTTTGTTCCATATAAAGGACATGTATTCCTTAAAAAATATATGTTGTAGCATACTATATCCGTCTAGGTTTATTGGTCCCTCAGAGAAACACATGAGTTCACGGCAAAGGTCTTGTTCTCGTACCTGGCGGCTGCAACCCTAGCCACCGCCAGAGGCCGATCTTCCAACGCCGTTCTCCGGCGGCTCCCCTCCGCCGGCGACCTCAGTCGTCAGTGGTGAGGGGGTCGCCGGATCCACGCGTGTGGATCGTTTTTATTCATCCGTAGTCTATGTTTTTAGGTTGTTCATCGTCTTTGCTTCGGCGGCGACGATGACGACGCTGAATAAATATTCTTCGGATCCTTTCCTGACGAGGCCATCGGTCCTATGGTTGGGGATGGATCTGGAAATCAGTCTGTTCAAGTAAGGATGGCGTGGCGGCGGCGGTATCCTCGTGGTGGACCTGTGTCCTCGGGCTCCGTCGTTGCGACGACGTTTGCTCCAGCGTCGGCGTGGAGCTTGGGAGGTAGTCCAGGAGCGGATGCAGATTGTGGTCTGCATCAAGGACATCTGGAAGACGGAACGTGTGCTTGGTTCGTGGTTCGTGGATGGCAGGTATGGTTTTCTCCTTCGGCGTCTTAGTCGTGGTGGGGTGCCAGATCTGGAGTTCGATGGCGTGTCCGGGGTGTTGCCCCGGTCTGATTCGTTCAACGACAATGGCTTCACTTTTGGTGAGCCACCTTGAAGGTCCGCAAAGCTGCATATCAGCGATGGAGCCGCGTCGAGCTCGGGTGAGGAGATGATCCGTCATTCTTTTCTTCTGTGGCTGCTGTGGTGGTGCCGGAGGCAGGTGACGGGCGTTAGTGTCAAGCTCAGAGATGTTCTGCTATCTTTTCAGTTTTGTTATGTCGGTTCTTACGTGACTTGTACTTCGTTCTTTATGATATGAATGAGACACATATTACCATGCAAAAAAAGGTTTATTGGTCCCTTCGTATTTTGTGCCAAATTGTGTACAAAGTTTCCCAGTGTGTTCATTATGTGCTCGGATCCGATGGCGTTGGTTTCCACGGCGCCCCACAGTGGCCAGTGGAACATCTTGTTCCTAAGGACATTTGGGCACATGGAGACCATTGAGTGGGCCAACTTGCGGGCCGCCCTCTCGTCGGTGCTCGCGGATTATCCAGACACCGTGTCTTGGCGGCTAACCTCATCCGGGATATTCCCGGTTGGCTCGGCATACCATGCCTTATTCTAGCGATTGTCCCTATTGTGGACCTTTTCACTATGGAAAGAGCCCATACCACTAAAGATCGGGATTTTTGTTTGGCAACTGCTAGGGGATCGCCTCCCATCTGGGATGGAGTTGTTGAAGTGGCACAACCTTGGTGACGAGTTGTGCCCCTTTTGTTGTGTTGACAGGGATACACATCTTCTCTTGCATTACAACGATATTCCTGTGGAGCTTTTTCTGTGAGGCTCTGGTGCCTGATTGGGAGGACCTAGACCTGATCGGGTTCCTATAAACTCGTGCCCACCAGACTGGGAGGAGGATACACCTCTTCAGGCTGTGTTTGCGGCGCTAGCTTGGACTTTATGGACAACACAAAACAAGATGGTGATTGAGAGGTTCGTCCTTAGGCGGGCCTCTGAGTATATCTTCAAATTCCTTGCATTTTGCAGCACTGGCACCCGATCTCTAGACAACGAGACTGTGACCGGTTTGGACTCATGGTGGATGTGTTGACTCAGTACCGCACGCCGTCTTGCTTTGTCGTAGATCTGTTGAACTTCCGGCCACTTGGTAGTATTTTTTTTTCTTTTTTTTCGAGAGTACACCTAGACGTACGATAACTTAATAGCAGGCCGAATTTCAAGTAAAAAACACTGCCACTCACTTGGTGGTCTTTTTTTCATCTTTCTTTTTAGCTTTTTTGGGCATGTTTGAGTTGTTGCCCCAGCAGACTACTTAATTTTCAGTGTGGTACTTCAACTTGTTGCATAGATATGTTGGTTTTTATGTATAAAGCGGGGTGTAAACCTATTTTGAGAGTTGTTGTCGGTCCATCATGTGCAGAGCCATGGTCCCACATTTTTTTTATAAATATTACCTTCCTATATGCTCTTTTAGGGAATTGGTGGTGCAAATTTCAGCACACCGGCAAGTATATACGTGTCTAAAGAGAATACTGCATACATGTCGCATGAGTGAAACAAAAAGAACTAAGACAAAGAAAGATGACGATTGATGATGGTTGTTGAACCGTCTCCCTCTTGGACGGCTGGGTCAATTAAGCCATGCTTCACCCGTTCTCAGCTGTAATTTTGGACTTCCCAAACAAAATAGACAACGACCAGACCACATCCACACCGCATGCGTACACAGCCCAACGATTTTCCAGCAGAATCGCTGCCGGTCCATCTCAGTTCTAAAATCGCTCTCTGTTAATCATAGCGTGTTTTGACTTTTCCAAAAGGTAATTTTCTTGGTTCTAAAGTTATCCAGAAGCTATCGCCTATCGGTCCATCACCTACACCAAAATCATGTGAATTTTCTGAATTTTGTCACTTTTTTGTTTGTTTGTTTGTTGTGTTTTGTCTTTTGTGTGAATTCCCTGACTTTTTCCTCTGTTTTATCTGTTTTTAGACGTTGATTAAATCTCTTCATTGCCAAGGGCACATGCGCAAAAAGGAGACGACTTTCAGTTGATTTTAGCTGAGATGGTGTTGGAGGAGTTGAAGACTGCACTTCTCTGAATATTTGACAAAGCTAACATTCCTCTGGTTGCTTACTTACATCTTACAAACAGGGTTCTATGATGGGAACATTTTCAGTTAGTAGTACTTCAATATCATCCTAACGTAAAACAATGACAAAAAAATGTTAAGATGATCCTTCACGCCCTTCTTGTTAATCACCTGGCCTGCACCCCACTCACCGACAGCTGGTTCGTCGAGAACGGCGACTTGTCGGAGTTCGACATCAGAGACATTGATGACCCCGAGCTTTCGCTCTTCGCGTTCGACCCCTTCACGTTGATGAACGGAGGCTCGGTAGGCCGGGGCAACACCCTGTCACCACTTCCCAGCATCTCCACCACCTTCCACATCGGCGGTCTGAGGTTCGGCGACGCCTGCGCGCACAGCAACCCGACTTGGAACACCTTGAGAGCTTCCGCCTCCGAGCATTGGTCGCGGAGGTTCGGGTCCAGGATCTCCATCAGTGTGCCGGCGTTGTAGTGCTTCCATAACTGAAGATGGAAGGATGTCAGCATCAGGTTGTCTGAAATGCTACAGTACACTAGTACTTGACAACATAGGTGAAATGGGAGAATATACCTGTGACATGAGGGACAGTCCCTCGGCCGATGACGCCACGGAGTTGTGGTTCTTGCGGCCGGTGACGATCTCAAGGACCAGCACGCCGTAGCTGTAGATGTCGGCCTTCTCCGTCAGCTGCCCGTGTACGATGTACTCCGGGGCCATATATCCACTGCACAAATGTAGGCATATGGTCAGTGCTATTTCTTCAGACACATTGCACAATTTATCGCCAAATTTTCTTCAACCCTTGATCAGATTAGATTTTCTGGACAAGTGAACTTACAATGTTCCTGCAAGGCCGGTGCTGAGGTGGGTCTGATCTTCCATGAAGTTCCTCGCCAGGCCGAAATCGCCGATCTTAGGCCTGAACCTCTCATCCAACATCACATTGCTGGCCTTTATGTCCCTATGTATGATCCTGACCTCGGAGCCACTGTGGAGGTATGACAAACCCTCCGCCGCCCCGAGGACAATCTCCGACCGCCGCTCCCAGTCCAACGCGTTCTTTTTGAAAGCGTCTGCATCAACAAAGTACGGAAGATCAGTCAAAATGAAATCTACCATTTGAAGTATGACATTTTTTTTCTTCAGAGAATGCAGGGGTTGTTTTATTTTCTTACCAAAGAGGTAGTGATCGAGGCTGGTGTTGCAGAGGTACTCGTAGACGAGGAGGCTCTCGGGGCCCTCGACGCTGCACCCGAGGAGCTTGACGAGGTTCTTGTGCTGCACCTGGCTGACGAGCTTCACCTCGTTGAAGAACTGGTCGGTCCACTGCCGCGTGTTGAGGTAGAGCCGTTTCACGGCGATCTCCCGGCCATCCGGAAGCACACCCTGTGATATCCATCATATATTATCAGGATGTCAAACTCAGATGAAGCAAGCATTTCAAGAAACATGATCAATGAAATTCAGTGTTGCATTTGTGCCAATGCGTGGTGTTCCAAATGGCACGGCAATGTACCTTGTAAACTGAACCGTAGCCGCCCTGGCCGAGCTTGTTGATCTGATTGAAGTCATCGGTCGCCTTGCGCAGCTCCTCGTACCGGAAGCCGAGCTGCGACAACATGATGGTGCGGATGATCTCGCCTGAGCCGTCCATGTTTGCACAGTGTCAGAAACTCTCGTCAGATTATCATAGTGCAGCATCAGATATTCAGATGTATGTGTTTGTAATTTTACTGTTTGACATACCGTCGTGGAGGTCGTCTCTCCTGGGCCTCATTCGTGTCCAGATGAATACTATGCCGATGACTGCCATGGCGGAGAGGATGGAGGCGAAGACGATGATGATTATGTGCCGGGCTGCCATGGATGATTCAGAAGAAGAAGAAAGATGTCATATTCATGGCGTTTCATACGGATTTATTTTGCTGTTTCAGGCTCTGAAACCTGAAATAACGATATGTGAATGCGCTGTTGCTGTCAGCAGAATTCAGACACGACACGGCACGACATTTGGACCAATAACGGAATTACGACCGAGAATGTGTGTGCTGTACTCACTGGATGACCCGCCACCGCCGCCGGTTTTCGCCGGCAGGTAGAAGGGCTGCGTGGAGTACCTGACGACGCAGCCGGCGTTGAGCCCGTACCCCTCGGCGGCGCCGGGAAGGCACTG